TCCATAAATTCGATAAATATTTAAGTCTATTTTTAAAAATACAAATATTTTTTTTCCTAAAAGAAAATAGGTTAAAATATTGTACTTTTAGCTTTGTTTTATTTAGTTTTTATATTTTAACTTTGATTTATTTTAATTCATATATTTTTAAAATATTTGTTTTAGTATTTGTACTTTTAAAAAATGACTATTCTAGTTCCTAAATTTTATTTTTAATCTCATTTTTTTTCTAATCACAATTTCAAAACAACACTACGCTCAACATATTTTTTGAAATGTAATTATTATTTTATAGGGAAATTATAGCGAGTGGCAAAAATCATTCATGTATTTCAAAATATATCACATGTTTTTTAAATTTTCAAATATAGCAAAAATTTTCACTTATAACAATAGTATATATTCAGTTTAAATGTATATTGCACAGACACTCATATTGGTATATCATCAAGTGTATATTGCATACATATATCAGTAGTAAGATCTATTACAAATATATTATGGATATATATCATTTGCGTAAACTTGTTATTTTAAAATTGGATCTCTGCTGTTGTTACGTTGCTAATTTTACTAAAATTTGTTGCCATAATTTATAACTGCCCCTATTTTATATCGAAGATTTTTTGTATTATATGTATAATTAATTTGTGTTAAAATTGTATAGGAAGGGATTAAAATAATCACATTTCAAGATCACATTTACCCAAACAAATATTTCGAAAGCAATACATAGAATGAACCAAAACAAAATAGTATTTTAATCGAGAAAAAATAAATGTAAACGAAAGAAATAAAACTTGCTCCCCAAGGATTTCGGATTCGGAGAAACGATGGCTATAAATTCATTCAGAGAAACGGCGAATTATTCTCCCAATTATCTCAGATTCCCGTCGTGTTCTTCGTTCCTCTTGATTTAGAATCTCCGGATTCGATTACTCTGTCGATGAACGAATCGATGGATTGGTGTTCTCACTGTCTCGACGCCTGTAGAATCCGAAACGAGGGCGATTTCAGGTACCTCCGATTCGTTAATTCTTCTTCAATGTTCTTCATTTTTTCACTTTCGTTCGTTGCATTCTCTGTTGTCTCTGAAACTATACTGGCGTCTGGATTTTCTGATCGTCTTCGACGGTTGTCTAGGGTTTCTCTTGGAGAACAGTTTACAGAACATTGAATCCGAAGAATTCGAGAGATTTGCATTTGATTGTTTTTCTATGAATTTGAATATTTAAAAATTCATAAAAATGATATAGATATTTTCTTTATTTCGAATTTGTTTTTCTATGATTTTAGGATTCGGTTGCTTTAGAAAATTTTCATGATGATTCGAATTTATGATTTGTTATAGAAATTAAATAGGATCATGAATAAAGAAAACATCTCAACTGGTTTTTTATTTTACAGAATAATGGAGAATTCTTATAGTAATTTCATTGAATTCAGCGCACTCTATTTTTTTTTTTTTTAATATAAAATTCAGCACACTCTTGGTTTAGTAATCAAGAGGACTTTACACCATGATTTTAAAAATTCTAAAAATACTCCAAAAAATATTTTAAAAGTATTACTTAGTCCTCTAAAAGATGATCTCTCTTGATTTTCTAGGTATATGGTATTAAATAACAAAATGTGCAATCTATATTTCCATTTTAATATATAGATGTCTTCGACATCGACATAGTGTTAAATTGTAATCATGAGAGAATAGTGATTTTATTATTATCACACTTAAATCTTTACTAGCTATCTCTCTAATATAAATACAAACAATAAGTGGTTTAACTAAAGGAGTTAACTCTAGTTAAATACGCCTAATATACATAATATTAATATTAATCATTTTTAGAGAAATGTTTATTTGTTAATTTTATCCATATTTTCATGAAATTGTGACATCTTAACGTTTATGTCCAACATTTAAAACTTTGGGTTTATGACTCTCATGCTTTTCTTATTTTAATTCCTAAGGCTTATGTGGATAAATATTTTGTTGTTTGTTTTCTAAGTTGTTTTTTTTTTTTTTTTTTCCTTTTGATATTAGAAATGTTCTAAAATATTGGCTCCTTTGAACAAATCTGATCTTTATTAAAATTCACAATTCATTATTTAAAAAAAAATATATATTTGTTTTTTTTATTTCTCTCCCTTCCTCAAACGAAGATAAGACATAAGAATCAGTTAAGACTAAAAGTATTCTCCATATTTTCGAGGACTTCCATCCCCACCCCATTTCTGAACATATTTCTCATTCCATGGCGTAAATAATCGTCTGCGTAGCATCCATATTTTCAAGTCTTAGTCAATCTTTTAGAAGAAAGAAAATTAAATTTTAAAAACTGATTTTGTTTTTAAAATTGGCTAAGAATTCAAATATGATTTCTAAAATCTAAACATTTGTGTTTCGTGCTCTAAAATTTACAATTTTAGCTCTCGCAATTTCATAACTTGATTGCAGATGTTGCTCAGAATGTGGAAATGTTCTTGCTCAAACCTCCACTACTAAATCAGTGAGTTTATGGCTCAGAAAAATAAGTTTTAAAAGAAGCTTCATTTCAAGTAAAAAGAAGAGGCAGAGACTTCTTAGATCAACACTACTCCATTACCGGACTTGATGATATTCATTTGCAATTCAAACACATTTATACATACTTTGTTCCTTTTTTGTTTATTTGTTTTTCCTTTTTTTCGGGACGGAGTTTTGAAATGTAAATAACTTGGGATCAGCTCGAGGATTTGAGGTCTCTTGATCATAACCAAGACTCAAGTTCAAACCGTTCCTTGAGTAAAATTCCGACTCCTAATTATGAATAAAAAAAATGTAAATATCACACTTTATAAAATTCTTTCTTGGAAGGAAAACAGAAAGGAAAGAAAGAAAGAAAGAAAAAAGGATTAGTGAATGTACTTTTTGGCCAAATTGGGCTTTTAAGGAAAGTTCATTTTTGGTTGAAGTTCAAACTCTTTTTCTAGATTGGATCTTTTCTAGGCTAAAATATATAGATTTGTCACTATTGATTTTCTACTTTGTATGTTCTTTTTCCTTCAAAGTTTCAATTTGATGCTTTGTATATTAATTTTTTTTCCAATAAAGTTATTATTTATTATTGTTAGTAAATGTTAGACAATGGTGCTTTTAAATAAGGTAATCGTGAAAGGGGAGAGGGAAAGAAAGATCAATTTGGTCATTCGTGAATTAAACCCTTTCAATCAGAGTTCTTTATCTTTTTTTTTTTTAACTCAACATATAGGGTGAGCATTCAAACCTTTGCTCTTTTAGTTTAGATTGACAAGTTTGATAGATAATAGAAGAATGATGATGTGAGTATTTAATAAAGATAATCTTTAATATAGTAGTAAATTAAACCTCGCTAGTAAAATTGTAAGATCTGAAACTCTTTTTATGATAATTGCATGGACAAACCTATTTACCATTTTTTTCTTTTAAATATTTCGAAGCTTTCTAGTCTCGGAACTCAAAAAAGATAATGAGAAGAAAACATTTATGTTTTTTTGAATGGATAAAAAAGTTTAAATATTATTTTGATATCTATATTTTTTAAATTTTTTTTGTTTATTTTAATTCCTATACTCTTAAAATATTTGTTTCGGTCCTTCATTGTCTTTTTTATTACAATTTTCAACAACATTCTACATTCAATAAATTTTTTGAAATATAGTCATAACTTTATATTAAAAAATTTTCTTTTGTGTATAAAATTTGTGCTTGCATTTTACAAACAGAGACCAAAATAGAAACTTGTTAAAATATTTTTTGTTAAATTTCTTTATTTAAATTATAAAGAAAGTAGAGATAAAAATATAATACCCAATTTTTAATGAGAGAAATAATTAATAAATTCTCTTTTCAATATTGATTCTTAGCTCCATTTATGACAGTCACTCAAATAAATAATGGGATGTATCTTTTTATATATATTAGATATCCCAAAAAATTGATTTTTGGTACGACTACGACAATTTTTGATCGGTTTAGTTATGCTCAAATTGAATTTTTTTTTAGATATATCTATCTTTATATATTCATTAAGATCCAATAAGTAAAATGATTGGTACTTTTTTTTAATTTTTAACCTTTGACTTTTTATCATAATAGTGAAGTAAACTATTTTTTTTTCCAAAATAAAATAATTGAAATAGTGACATTAAATGATCATATACACATCACATTATTAATAAATGGATTAGGTAGTAATTCACATCCACATCATACTCTCTATCCTCCATTTTCCTATTTCCTTTTTCCTTTTTGATCTACTTTTTTGACATCTGTCAAATATATAGGGGTTACTTAAAGTTCAATAATATCTATATTCAATTATACATTTATATATATTTTCTTTTAATGTTGGGATAACTCTTTTGTTTCAAAAAAAAAAAAAAAAGAATGTTGGGATAACTCTTGATTAAAGAAGAGAGCAAGGGGTGTTAAAATAAACTCAACCTAACCCATATTATTTAGAATTTAAATAAATTAGCACTTATTATTAATTTTAAATTTTTTTTAATTATTATAAATTATATGTGGATATATTTATTTTTTAATTTTATTTCATTCGGTAATTATTTATAGTTTATTAATTCTCTAATAATTTTTTAGATTTTTTTAATGTAGTTTTTCACCGTATTAATAAATATTGATTTACAAATCTTTTTAAATGTTTAAGATATTAGCAAATATACATCTCCGATAATGTGTGAGGAGTCAACACCCCCTTAGGACGAGTAGGGTTGGAGTAGTTATTAAAGACAGTAGATGAGAGATTTTCTAACCTTTTTGCAAAGCCATCAATATTTGTTTGCAATGGGTGAAGTAGAAGCATTGACGATTATAGAAAGTTTATCTACGACGATTGAAATGAGATTCATCCAATTGATATAGATACGGATTATCTGCAAATTCTATCTCTTCTCCAGGCCAACAAGGAAGAGCATTCCTCTTCAACATTGAATAGTGCAAGAAATGATCAATCCCTCGACATCCTTGTGAGATGAAATTCACTTTTTGCTGAAGAGATACCAATTTCTGGCTCGCGAAGCTGCGAAGCTTTTCGTATCGACTAAAACAAATACAATACTTAAAATTGTATAAATGAAATCTGTTTATTAGACCTAATTCTATATTGGTATATTTTTATTAAAAAAAAAACCACAAATTTTATTATGGTCATATATTCGTCCTCTGTTGGTTTAGATAAAAATTATCATAGAAGGATTTTAAATAATAAACGGTTTGAATTTCACTTTGATACCGCAACTTTTAAAATGTCTATTTTAATCATAGATTTTTAAAATAAATAGTTATTTTGATTATTGCATTAATTTTCTATCAAAATTTTTTATAACAAATGTGATTAATGAGAACTTTAACCTCGGTACTTGAAAGCTACTGTAAAGTTATGTTCATATTAATTATTTAACCAAAATGGATCGTAATATGTGTATAAACAATTTAAAATTTGAAAATAGACATTATAAAAAGTTCAAAAACTAAAATAACAATTATGTAGTAATTTAAATAAATTCAAAGACTATTATAAGATTAATCTTAAAAATGGTAAAGGAAAAAATGATACTAACCCAAAACACTTTCTAGGAAATGGAATAATCTTAGGGTTAGACACTGTGTCCTAAAATGATAGTATGGTGTGTTTGGTTGTCTGAAAATAAAAATCTAAAAATAATATATTCAATTAAAAATAGAGTTATATTTTATGGTAGCACGTTTGAAAATTGAATTTCAATTTTAAATATTATTCAAAGTGTTTATTAATTTTTTTATACAAAAATGTTTAATAATATATTTGTAAATCTAAAATTAGGAACTAAATATTTAGTCTAATAAAAAATAATATTAATTAATATATTAACATATATGTAATCTATGCCTACATTAATTGGTTCAGGTTGTGGGTTCGCATGTCCACCTTCATTTATTGTAATAAAACAAATATTAACATATATAATTTTTTATAAAATTATTATTTTATAATGTTATATAACTTAGAATATATTTTATTTTACATTTTTTAATTTTAAAAAATTAAATAAGTTTACCCGTGATATAGTATATTTATACACATTTTATATTTTTCTTAATGGGATTCTGCACTGTTTCAAATTCAAAATTTAAAAGAAAAAATAGTCTTAAATTTTAATCGACACGAAATAGTATATTTATCAAAATTTTCAGCCCTTTTACATGATTTTCGATTTTAAAGTTTTAAATTAAAAAAAAAAACAGAAATACAACGGAAGGGTTAAATCGAAATTTCATGGTATTGAAAAAATGGTAAAATATTATAAAAAACATCAACAAAATATCAATAATAATGATAATAACCGATTTCTCTCTCTCTGGTCTCGGCTGCAGCTGCGTTCCTGTGGGGCATATCTAACTCCTTTGTCTTCTTCTTCTTCCTCCATCGACAAAAATTCCAAATTAGGGATTGCATTTTCGGATTCAAATTCGATCCAATTGCGCTCTCTTTTTTTTTTTCTCTTTTTCTGCGAAATTTTTTCAATCCAAACTCAAACTTCTGGTTGAATGTTGATTACTATCCTCTGTCTGGTGGAATTCCGCGACTCCTTTGTTTTAGGTCCATGGGAAATGCCAATGGTAGAGAAGAGACTTCTTCCGCCGGCGGTGGAGGATCAATAGTTGATGCCGATGGACATGGTGGTCCGGTGACTGACAATCCGGTGCCTGCTGAAACCAGTAACGTTGTTTCTTCAGATTCCATGGGGAATACTCCTCCTGGTAGCCCTGGCAACTTCCGATCCCCGATCTTGTTCTCTCCGCAGGTCACTATTTCGTTTCTCTTCCTCAAAATCTTTTCCCTTTTATGTCTCTATCTCTTCTGTTCTTTTGTCTTACTGTTGTTTTTGGTTGTACTGTACGTGGCGTTTGATTCATCCAGTGATGTTGTTTTGAGGACAATTCGTTTTGTTGTTCCATTTTGTTGTTATTCGCTGCCGAGTGGAGGGGTTTTGAAGCTAGGGAGTTGCGTTTTCCCGGGAAATTTCTTTTTAAAGATCGGAGTGTTACATTCCAGTCAAGATCCACTTCGTTGACTACTTGGATTAAGATCGACTCCCCAGCAATTTTAATGATGGTTTCAAAGCTATGATAAGTTGCGTTTTTTGGTAGAGATTAATGCCTGAAACGTCCGTTGTTCGTTGTTCAGACTTGCTTACTCTAATCGACTACAATTTCTAGTATATGAACAGCTGATTCTTAGAGTTAGTTGGTTCCTGTAATCCAAGTATGTCATTAGCAGAATATTACTTCTTTACTGGTAAAAGCATCGAGTTGTGATAAAACTCCCAGGCCAGATTCGATCTTACTTAGAAAGTATTTGACTTTTGTGTATCCAGGCTTGATTATAAGTTGGACTTCCTTTCTCTTTGAGATGATCTGAATGTGAATTTGTATGACCATTGACCTGCTCATGGTTTTTGAAATGATAGTGGGTTTATGTTACAAGACTTGCAGGTTCCTGTAGCTCCCTTACGAGGAGGTAATGGTCCGACAACCTACAACGAAGCCTGGCAGAATGAATTCCATGGAGTTGAAGATAATCCTCCAGAGCAAGGAATCCCCACAATCATTACGTGGAGCTATGGTGGTATCAATGTGGCTGTCGAGGGGTCTTGGGACAACTGGGCATCCAGGTTATCTCTTATAAATTCCAGGCTACCAAGATTTTTCCAAGTCTGCATTTTGCATTAATACTTAAATATTATGTTATGTTGCTCCTGCAGGAAGACCCTGCAGAGGTCTGGTAAAGATTTTTCGATAGTTATGGTCCTTCCATCTGGAGTATATCATTACAAGTTCATTGTTGATGGTCAACAGAGATATATTCCAGACCTTCCTTTCATAGCTGACGAGATGGGCAATGTCTTTAATCTTCTCAATGTTTCTGTAAGTTTGATTCTTCCCTCCATCAGTATTAACCATCCAGTTAGCATGAATTTGAACTCGACTCATCGTTGTGTTGAATAATGATGCATTTGTGATTTGTGAAAATAGAGATTAACTAGTGGGTGCAAGAATACGTGCTTGGCCATAGGTATCTCAAACAAGGCCATGTTGGCATACTACTGGCATAAATATCTCAAGCAAGGCCATATTTGGCATACTACCAGCATAAATATCTCAATCAAGGCCATGGTTTGATTCTCAGCTTCACATTTTCACATTGCATCAGCACAGTATTGGTCTTCACTCATATATGCTATAGATATATATTGATATTTTAGGTCTAGACCTGGAAAAGAACTTAAGAAAAGAATGAGGAGAGCTCTCCTTTTCCAAGGCTGTAAAGTTCTATAGAAACTCAAATAATAGTACTCATTTTAGGAGTGGATACAAATACATATATTGTATCCACCCCTAAAATGAGTACTTTTTGCCAAAACAGTCTTTAATGTCTCATGTTACTGCCGCGTTAGTTCCAAAAGAAAAGGAAAAAAAAAAAAAAGAAGTGCAGTGGTATTCTCGCTAAAAAGGAAAAGAAGTGAGAGCAAAGGAGAGAAGCAATGGCATGTGCTTACAGTGTTGGCTGTTCTGAATAATGCGAAAATCTCCTGGATAGAGTCCCTTTTGCCTTTTCGAACGTATCTCCTGAACGCCATTGTGATTAACACAAAGTACTTGAGAGCTTTGTTTTAATCCTCTATCTAGCAACCGTACATGCATGGGATAGATTCTGAGAGTATTTTCATTGTCTTGTTATGAATGGTTCCTTCGGGGATATCCAATAAAATTGGAAAGGTGCATAGAAGATTATCATGGCCCAATGTGAGGATGACACGCACAAATCAAGACATTGCCCGAATTTAAAAAGAAATCATCATGTCATGAATGTGTTACTGTTCAAAGAACTGCCCCTGCAACCGTCTGATTGTGTTGGGGCGCTTGATTTTATCATTTTTGGATGAGAACGAGTTATATAGACATATTGATTATAAAATTATAGGTCAAAGTGGCAAGGTGCGTAGACAATGAATGAATGATCCAAATTCTCTCGTCATTTTGTTCGTGCAATCAGAAACATTCATTCTCTTTGCAACTTGCACACATTTTATACATTTCATGGATCTTCTTGCCTGTTATCGTTGTTTACATTTTTCCAATTGATTGTTCTGTTGGAATTTTATTCAAGAGATACAGGAAGAGGAATGAAACGACATGACTATAGTAGTTGTTCATTCATATGCCTGAGCCTGAACTTGATATCATTCTAGAACTAATCGAAGTGATATAGTTTTCTCTTTGTTTTCCCCTCATTTTTTGTTGGATACATTTTGTTAAAATAATGAATGTACATTTGGAAGTGTCAAAGATTTGTCAACATTGTTTTATAAAAGGATGTGTTCTTCATTCAGTTGGTGCAATGCAAAGCACATACTGATTATGTATTTCATCTTCATTCGTTCATCTTGGAGTTGTTTCTGTTTTTTAGGATAGTGTGCCCGATATTCTACAGAGCGTGGCTGAGTTCGAGTCTCCACCGTCTCCCGAGACCACTTACAGCCAGGCATTCCCCAGAGAGGAAGATTTCGCTAAGGATCCAGCAGCCGTGCCATCGCAGCTGCACCTCACAGTTTTAGGTATGGAGAATGCAGATGAAGCTTCATCCTCGAAGCCTCAACATGTTGTGCTTAACCACCTCTTCATAGAGAAAGGATGGGCTTCTCAGTCTGTGGTTGCCTTGGGACTTACCCATAGGTTCCATTCCAAGTACGTCACCGTCGTCCTCTACAAACCGCTGAAAAGGTAGTCATCGTTGATTTTTCTTTCGTGCTGAACTTTGTAAAGGATCACGAACCACGACCACGTCCTCCATCACCTGTGGAGGAAATCTTGTTTCATAGAACTGCTTGGCCAAAAGATGTTTGCTTGCAACAAAAAACTCTTTTTTTCCGATCCAATATTTCTTCAGTCTGTGAAGGAATCTTGTTTTATAGAACTGCTTGGCCAAAAGATGTCTCATTCCCTCTTCTCTAACTGTATCAATAGTAGTAGATTTTGATAGATCTGAAAATTTTCTTTAACTCAATTTTGGCATCTAGTTTTGCTAAATTTTTGTGCCCAATTTTTGATGAAGTATTAAATCATTTTTAGACTACTTTTTCAAGTACAAATTTTGTTGTTTATTGAAATGTAACCTTTAATTTGATAACACTAAAGATTATAGTTAATTTAATTTCATATAAGAATAAAAAAACAATTTTTTTCCAAAAAAAGAAAAAACAAGTATACCTATCGACCATGTGGATCCGAACATTATTGGGAAAATAGGCTCTTGTTTTAGTAGTACTAAAATTTTCTTGTACATATCTCTTATCGTGAAGAGTACTAAATTTTTCCTATGAAAACATGCTTCGATGCCCACCGATCAACATCTGTTTTTGTTTTTGCGACCAAAAATTAGCAAAAACCAATTCATTTATTTCTTCTATTATAAAGCCATTTAACATGTTTACAAATTCCCACGCGACAAATTTAAAGCCAGTGGAAATTTTAGTATTAACAACAATCATCTTGAGGAGCAAAAAGAAATGGATTCATCAAAATGTACTTGAGCTGATATTCCCAAACACAAAAAGAACATACCAAATATTTAATAATAGAAGACTCCACTATCTAAAACTACTGGGAAAAAGAGAAAAAAAGACACAGCAAACAATACCGGAATACAGTACCCATAAATTATGCAAACAAGAAAATAAGATAACAGAAGAACCAACTAAGAAGCCTAGCAACACGAAAAAGAAGTCTACCCCTAGATAGAAGTGTTCCAGTAGGATGATATAGTTCTCATCGCTAACCTCTCTCTCGGTTCTTGGCCTCTTAGCAGGTTCTCTTTTCATGTTTGAATTTGATCTGTCACTTGGCCATCATGATTTTAACGAATTCCTCGTAGTTAATCTGGCCATCACCGTCAACATCAGCCTCACGGATCATCTCATCGACTTCTTCATCGGTCAATTTCTCGCCGAGATTTGTCATCACGTGGCGGAGCTCAGCTGCAGAAATGAACCCATTTTGGTCCTTGTCAAACACACGGAAGGCTTCCTTGAGTTCCTCCTCTGAGTCAGTGTCCTTCATCTTCCGAGCCATCAGGTTCAGGAACTCGGGGAAGTCGATTGTTCCGTTTCCATCAGCATCCACCTCGTTGATCATGTCCTGCAGCTCGGCTTCAGTTGGGTTCTGGCCAAGTGACCTCATCACGGTCCCAAGCTCCTTAGTCGTGATGCAACCTGCATCCCAATGTAAAATCATCACAAATCACCGTAGATCCAGAGAAGCAGAAACAGACAATGCTCATAAAACACAGAGAAGAAAGGTTTAAAGATTTCCAAATGGTTGATTTATTGATAAGATATTAGCTGTCATTGAGAAGAATGAAAGAACAAGCCAAGTTACCAACTGAAATAAGTAGGGATGAAAAATAAGAGTAACCAAAGTTCAAACAAAGAACAAAACCATCAATCAGCTAGAAAATAGGATCCTAGTAGACCAATAAAATCATTATTATGTGCTCACAACTTAGAAGTTACGCAAGCAGACAAACATCAGACATCTTCGCCTGTAATTCCTAAGGTTATAGTAATCAAATGGAATCAAAATGTCATTTCCATTAACAATATTCAACTAATAATCAAAATTTAGTCACATTGGCATTTCCAGTCCAAGAATTTCAGGTATAGATGCGTACTCAGGCCTCGACCACCAAGTAAAATCCAGAAGTTTCATGAAGAACACAAGTTTCAAATTACCACTATCTACAAATCAACTCATCAGATTTGACTAGGAAACAGAAAGCAAAATTCATAATCTTAAAAACAAACTCCAGTCCAAGCTGTGAAACCTCTATGCAAAAAACAAAAAAGAGCACCCAAGCTTTTTCTTATTCTGAAAATCCAATTTAACACATCATTTACCATAAAAAAAACTCGAGCATGCAAACTTGAACTACAGAAAAGAACACTCAACAAGAGAACCTAGAATAATCGGCCATGGACCGTGGAAAATCAATCGAAGAAAACATTTCTCAAACACATTATCACAAGATCGCCGCCTGAACAGACCTCCAAAACCAAAACAAATAAAGTCAACAAAGCACAACGCAGCCACGTAACATCCAGATCACGGCAGATCCAATCCACAACACTCAAAACTCCAAAAAAACATCACAAAACATGATAACCAGTCGCTCAAAAGTAAAAACAATCCAAAAAAGCAACAATCCATCACAAAGCCAAAACAAAACACGCCTGAAAAACCTCAAATTCAACCTAAACCCTAGATCAAGCACAAAACAAACACGAGAACACCAAATCATAGAATTAGATCTGGAAAACAAAACCTAAAAGCAAATCACATCAAACAAAGGGAGAAAGGGGATCTGAGAAACGATACCATCGCCGTCCTTGTCGAAGAGGCTGAAGGCCTCCTTGAACTCGGAGATCTGATCGTCGGTGAGCTGCTCGGCCATCGTCGGAGAGAGAGAAAAATCAACGAGAATCGAATCCTGAGAGGGTTTTTTCGTTTGAGCGCAAAAAAGTCTGATCTGAATTTTCTCCAAAATGTTCCGAAATGCGAAGTAGGGGAAAAAATATCGAGTAAAAGGGCGCACGTGTCAGATACGCACGCCGCCGTGGAAATAAGCGCGCCAACTGCCTCTTCGCACGTGCCGCTTTTATCGCCCTGTTTGGAATCTGGATTGGGATAAGACAGTGCCCGGATAAGAATGTCATAAGTAAATAATATCTATTTCAAGCTTCATACTTGATAGTGATGCGAAGGATTAATCCATATTTTTTTTAACACTATCAAATTATGGAAGAGAATAGATGTAAGAATTTTCAACAAAATTTTCAAGTTAGTACCAACAAAATAAACTTTAAATGAAGTATTTCTTTTTAATATATAGATTTAAATATTGTCTGAAGCATAAAAACACTATCACGTGGAGGACACATCATGATAAATAATAACATGGTGGTTCGAGATAGTCTAGCATGCAACTGATCGAATGGTCGGTTCCAAATACTCATTCGATCAAAGGAACGACCAACTACACTTAACCAAATACTGGGTGCAGAGATACAAACTTAGCACTACCAGCACGAGCAATAATGTTACTAATGAGATGTTTTTGAGTTTCTTTTAAGCGTTTTTATAATTTTCTGAATCAATTTTAATCGTCTAGTGAAATACTGTGATTGTGATTTTTCCGCCCTATGCCTGGAATTTAATTTTGTTTTTTTATATCTATTCTTCTATGAATAGTAAATATACAAAAATTATTGGATAAAATACAGTTTTGATACAAAGAGATTTATACTTCATTTTTTTTTGTCTCTAGATTAAAAAAATCATCCTATTAGATTTAAAATTTAGTTTCAATTCAATTATTAAGTTTCAAAACGTGACGTGTTGGTCTGAGGAGTTTGAATTTAATTTTTAATTGGTCCCTAGATTAACTTGATATCTAAATTTTGCTCTTTATTTTTTAAAATGTGTTGGTAAATTTTATTATTTTTTATTCTCTTTTGTTTAAGTGACATTTTTCTCTGCTCCGCTTTCTTTCTTCCTCTCTTCTCTTTTTTTTTTTTCTTTCTAATATTCCAATCGCACTACGGCCCTTCATATTCGTTCATTTCTAGTTTAGCATTCAAATTGAGTAGGTTTTAATTTACAATGTGAATCAGAAAGTTTCTCAAGGGCCAACAAGATTAATCGACAGTCATATCAGGTAATTTGAGAGATCCCTTAATATCCAGTCACTACCACATCAACATTCTATTATGTCAACTAACAGTTAAATTAAACTCAATCATCAATTAGAAATCAAACTCAAAGCTCATATATCAATTAAAAACTAAATTCAAACTTCAATACTAAACATCACACTTTTTATACTTTAATCAAATAGGAACTAAATTTAAATCTCAACAACAGAGCGATGATTTTTTAAACTCCCAAATAGAAAAATGTCACAGCATGGACAAAAGTGTATTTTAACCAAGATTCTCGTATATATTTTTTAAATAGTTTTTTTTTCCTTTCCATTATCATTAGTCCCTTTAAAATTTTAACTTATGATTACGCCACCAAAATACTTTGACCTACCCGACATAAACCTACTACATAATCTTTAAGCAATACAATCTACATGTCACACAAGCACTAAATTGAAGTTAATGTAATGTAGTAACCTATTTTACACACAAAATTGAAAGTTCAGCTACCAAATCTGAAATTTTATATAGTATATATATGATCTTATAGACACGACCTTGAAAGTCTAGAAACCTATTAAAAACTCTTTATATCAATACAATGACTGAATAGATATAAATTTGAAAGTTCATAAACCCGACTTATCATCTGACCTTTTAATTTTCCTCTTAAAAGTACTAGGTCTAGCTATTCACGTATAGAAAGACATTGCACATTTATTTACCCATAAATAAGCTTCGAGAGGGTCCCATATACCATAATTTGCTTTTTTTTTCTCTCTTTTTTCCAAATTTAAGAAACAAATGCATGTGTTCTCATCCCTATATGGTTGGAATGTTGGCATTATAGAATTGGAAAAAACATATAGACAAAGTTATGTTGGACAAACTTCTAGGTGTAACTTTGTGTTTGTCAAAGGTACATTTTAAGGACAATAGGAGGGTTTGAAGATGGAATGTCTTGTCTGTGTAATGTTGTTTTATAATGTGTTTGGTATAATGTTTAGAATAGTAAAACATGCTTTTTTTTCTTAACTAATTTAAAAGTACTTTAAAAAAATTATCTTGATGCTTGGTTACGTGGTCGTAAAGTATTTTTGAAAATTCTTAAAATATTCAATTGTGATGATATTTTGTTTTAACGATATGAGATTCTAACCTTTCATATTACATTGGTTGAAAAATATGAATTTTGGTTAAAAATGGAAACGAAGCTTAGTTGATCTTTACTTGAGGTGTAATTGATAGTGCTTGTTAGAATTTATGTTAATTTTTTTGGACTAATTGGTCGTGGGACCCCTTGTTCGGTCAATTCTATTCCATATAGTTGGTATACTACAATTGAAAAATGTCGTTAGAATGATCTTGGATCCACGCCAACTTGGTAGTTACATCCTCATATCTTATCCGTATAAAGTTTCCCATGAATGGATGATGTCTCTACTTTGATGACGACTCCGTCACTCCAAGCTTCATTTCACATTCAGTCCCTTCTCCTCGATCCTATATTGATCGATGACAATTCTTAGTATTTCTTTGGTGAATATCCCACATGAAATTCAGAATGAGGGTTCCAAACCTCCTTGAGATTGTTGGGTTTGGTGCCCTTAGCTCGTGTATTTGTAATTTATGAATAAATTATTTATTCAATAAAGAGTTATCTTATTATTTCTTTGCATTTACTTGCATTCTAGTAAACTATGATCTAAAGTTATTTAATATAACTAGAACAATATATATTTGATATACAATGTATATATTTGATATACAGTATTATTTAATATACAATGTATATATTTGATATACAGTATATTGATATATAGTGTATATTCGATATACAAGTGGATACTGTTCTAGTAATAACATAAATGGTCTATAGTACATGGATATATAAGGTTAGGTACCTTATCCTGGTAACACTATGGATACGACCCCCTTTGTAATAGTTACAAACGACTTTATCCAGGTTGTTCATGTAAACACATGCGAGTGCGAGTATCCTGTACAATGAGTTTGTATAAGATCGGACCGCGAAATAATTAATTATCGGTTCTAACACCGTTAGTCAATAGATTGTTATCTCATATGATGATCAGGTCACTTGATCTTAATCTTGAGCGATTTAGGGACTCTTGCCTATAAGGGATCGTCCTTTGATTTGTATGGGTGAGAGTGACCCGAGCTATCAACTCAATAATCCTACCATTTTGGGGACAAGATCGAGTAGGGAGTTGGAAACATAACTATGCAATATAGAATTCACTCCTTTCTGATTTAGGGAAGTAGATGAGTGTGTCATTACATGCTGACTTTGGGACTTGAACAAGGGGTCCTATCCTCTCACTGGGTCGAGAGGGACTTCCGGTTATTGGTTAGACCATAGCTGGGTTGTTCATTAAAAGAACAGTGATATTTAAGGAGTAAGATGTAACTCATGGGTAAAACGGTAATTTGACCTAGCTAGAGTTACGAGCACTCGTGGATGATTGACTTTCCGTTAATGGTCGTACATCCGTGGATACGAAAATATTATGCAGTGAGAAGAGTGCAGCTGCGAGTATTTAGTAGAATGACCCACCGTTAACGAATGTTAATTAACTAGGTTAATGAATTTGAGTGATTAATCTCGTATGTTGGAGCTTTTGATCTGTAGGTTCATTAGGTCCCTTACTAACTCACAACGGATAAAACGAGGATCAAAATTTTGAAAAAATTTGAAATGTTCAAATTATATTTAGGGAATATATACAATATATAATATATATTATGATACATTATATATATAGTTTATTTTTTAATAAAGATTCAATAATTAAACTATATGTTAGATAAATATTTGAATAGGATTCAAATAATTAATATGAATTGGATTAATCATATTAAAACTATAGTTTATACCATAAATATGCATTTTGAATATGATTGAAATATATAGTTTTAATTAAATATGTGATATTTAATTAAAAGTTAATTAATTAATTGTTTATTTAATTAATATTTGGATTTAAATTAATTATTTATTAATTTAATTAGTTCATTGTTAATTGATTTGATTAATTTGTTTGTTATTAGTTAAAAAGGAAAAGATATTTTGATGGCATTGGAATTTTCGCCCGGGGAAGAATAGTTTTAGGATTTTCTATAATAGTAAGCTGAACTATGCTAAAGGATAAAAATCTCAAAACTCTCTACTCTCTCAATTGGCGAGAAAGATAAGTGGTGTTGTCTCGTTGGGACGAAGAAGATTATTCAAAGTAAAATCTAACATTTTTCCTATTTTATATTTTTTGTGTTTTAAATTTCAAAAAAAAAATTGAAGAACGCATTCTACTGTTTTCGTTAAGGGGATTCATATCCCTTCAGAAACCACATTGATATTTTAGAAAAAAAAATGTATCCTTGAACATAAATTCAACTTCTTCGATTAGGTTAGTATAACTTGGCTCAACTATCTCAAAAAAATTCACATTTTGAAACTACTTACTAAAATATATAAACCGTTAAAATCCGTTAAAATTGCGATAGTATAGGAAGCAAAATAGATGAAAGCGAAAAAAAAAATATATATATATATATATACACACATGTAATGACCAAAATAGCCTGTGAAGTTGTGATTTGTAAAGATGAAATTCAAACCAATTTTAGAGAAAGGAAGTAAAAAAAAAATACAATTTCAAGTTCGGTGAATCAGTCAAATGGAACTGCCTCGGACCCCGCGGAGCAAATTTGTTTCTCAAGGTCCTCTCCTTCTCTCTCTCTCTCTCTCTCCCCTTGATCCAAATCTTCACCCACTGCTCTGTTTCTCCCTCTTCCGTGGCTTCCACTGCTCCTACTCCAGCTCCGGTACTTGATTCTCTACTGTATTTCTGTTCAATTTCAATTTACGGATCTATGTTTTTATTTCTACTTCTTTCGTATCTTGATTGATTCTGTATCGGAAGCGGAATCAGATTGTTGTTTGATGCGACAAATTATCTGAACTCAGTGACTGGATTGATCTTTGATTAGGGTTGTCGTTAATTTTGATGATTTTCGTGTGTTTCCTTGTGATCTTATGGGAAACATGAGGAAGATTGTCTCCTGATTTTTTCATCAGTCGATGGATTGAAATCCTCGTTTGAGTGATGATGCCTCCAATTTAACTTCAGGAGATTGTTTTATTTGCTTGTGAGAGACAAGGAATGTGGATATCATATCACACGGACACTGCATCATGAAGGTTGTTGGAAAAAAATGGGGACACAGGATACGCTACTGTTAATTGCTTGCTATCAAGTTAAAATTATAAAGCCTGTTTGAGTGCAGTTGCATCTAAATAAGCCACATGGATGTGTTTTGTATTTGTCCTTTATTATAGTTAAATTTCGTTTTTAGTCCCTTTAGTTTCTATTTGATTCACATGCATTTGAATGTTTAGTTATCAAAGCTTACTAGTTATTCTTACCAATAGTGAAGGGTCACATATGCAATGTTGCAAGATCCATTTTTCAACTAAAATGATACTTTAAAGTTTGACCCGAATTCGTATTTTTCAACTAATATGACCTTCATTCGAGATCCTCGTGACATGTTACATGGGATTTATGTCATCCTGTACTAACATCGGGGATTGTTGGTTTAACCAATCAAACAATAGTGGCCATAATGATTTTAAAAAAAAAAATTACAGGGACCAAATGAGAATATGTATGGGTGAAAGTAGAGGGAGTAAAAATGTAATCTAACTCTACTTTTCTTATGAATAATGGAGTGTCCAATTAATGAGTATATTTCCATAGACTCCTTTCCTGACAAATTGGATGTCACTTGCATGGCTGGCCTAAGCTTATATAACATTAATCCTTGTTTTATTTG